GCTACATATTAAAACTGAAATAGAATCACTGTGATGCAGCAAAGCGCAGGAAGTAATTGAATTTTAATAGAGGAAGAAAATAGAGATTTGACACAGAGACTCAGAGAAGATAAACTAAACAGCTTACCCTGAAAGTTGGGGGTTTTAATCCAGTGTCTGGTTGTTAATTTTGCCCTCCCCCCACCCCACCCCCGTGATGACTTAGATTTCTTTTCTACTCACTGACAAAATCTCCCTGCCCACAATCGCGCTTTGTCTGGTAAATTTTATTTATCTTACAAGGCATAGCTCAGATGTCACCTATTTTGTGAAGTCTTTCTTAGTTCTCCTGAGACTCCACAGACTCTCCTTCTTTGTGCTCTGACAGCACATTTTTCATACAACAGTTAATAGAACACATAAGGCATTGTCTTATAGACCCTGTATGTTCCCTTTTTACCCCCGGTAACTTAGAAATCCATGTCTGTTCATGGACTTTTCATTATCATATGAAATTATATATGGTATGTGTATATATATATATACATGTATATATATATATATGTGTGTGTGTGTGTATGTATATGTATATATAATATACTAGAGGCCTGATGCACAAAAATTTGTCAAGAGTAGGTCTTCCTTCCCCAGCTGCCTCACCTGGGACCTGGACTGGCTTCCCTCCGGGACCAGCTTCGTCAGGAAGGATGTCTATAAGACATCCAGTCTAATTAGATATTACCTTTTTATTATTATAGATTTGTACCATGAAAAAGTATATAATTATAATGTTATATAATTATACTTTCTATAATCATACACAATATTTTTATGATATATTTTAGTAAAATATTATTTAGCAGTTAAACCATAACCTCTGAAGCCAGACAGACCTAGGTTCAAATTCTGTGAAAACTTGGGCAATGTCCCCCCTGAACCTCAGTTTTCTTATCTTTAAAACGGGAACAATAGTGATGGTTTAGGGGAGGGAAAATAATTCCTTTTAACCTTCTGAGTTCTTGTCTGAGACCTCCCTATAATAAAAGATAGATGAACAAGAGGAAAAATAAACAGAGTTTACTAACTATATACCTAAGGTTAGCACATGGGAAAAACCTGGGGAAAATGAGTAACTCTCTCAGGTGACCCAAATTACCACCTTAAATATCACCTTCAGTTTACAGCAAGTAATAGTGTAATAATTATTAAAAATTATGTATGATGCCAGATGGGGGCTAGACAGATCAGAGTGATCACTTTGTAAGTTATATACATGTCTCATCACTATGTTGTACACCTGAAGTTAATATAATATTGCATGTCAACTGTAATTGAAAAATGAAAATAGAAATTTAAAAAAATATCAGCTTCAGCTAAAGACAAAGAAAGCAAGCTATGGGGAGAGGCCAGTTATGGGAGGTTACCCAGAAAAACATGGCAAACAAAGGTAAAGTTGTGCAGATTTTAATGGATAAGATTCTCCTGTGATTTAGAGTCCTCCTTCCCTTCCTGGTCCGCAGAGGGAGATACTTACAAACGGGGATTCCCTTACAAAAGGGCAACACTACTCTGGTTTTCAGAATGTCTCCTGTGTCTGCTCTTCCTCAAACTATTTAGGTTAGAATAATCCTTACGCCAAAAAGGCATATTTTGGGATAGCATATTCTGCCATTCAATGCTCACCTCAATGAGTTGTTGTAAGGATTAAATGAGCTCATACGTGTAACATCTAACACTGACAAATATGTACTCAATACATGGAAGCAATTATGATTATATTATATACCATAAGTGTACACGTTCTCTTTTTCCATTTAGCATTATTTAGTATATACATTTCCAAAGAAATGTAACAAACATAAAAAATAATTCTAACATTGTTCTTGATAAAACATAACTATTTTATGAAAAAAAACCTTCATTTTAAAAACACATAAAATTACATTATAATCCTCTTCATTTCAAAAGAATTTGAAAAACTATAACCCTTAGTTAATACCTGACATTATAAGATATCAATAGATTATTTAACTATCCTTTGTTAAATATAAAAAAGAATAATTAATGATATTAAATAATTAGAAACGACCTGTATATCCCACAATAGTGGAATGGCTAGGTCATCTATTATGTAGCTTTTTGATGAAATAAAATGCACCCATTAAAAATGCCGAATCTCTTGCACACCCATGTTCATAGCAGCATTATTCACAATAGCTAAGAGGTGGCAGCAGCCTTTGTGTCCAAAATGTAGAATATACATATAAAGGAATATTATTCGGCCTTAAAAAAGAAGGAAATCTGACACATGTCACAGCACAGGTGAACCTTAAGGACATGATGCTAAATAAAACAAGCCAGTCACAAAAAGACAAATATTGTGTGATTCCACTTATATGAGGTATGGGTCAGCTTCATAGAGACAAAGCAGAATGTGGTTTCTAAGGGTGAGTGGAAGAGGAAATTGGGTGTTGTTTAATGGGTACAGGCTTTCAGTTTTGCAAGATGAAAAAGTTCTGGCAATTGGTTGCACAACAATGTAAATATATTTAATACTGTATGCTTAGAAGTGGTTAGGGCGGTAAATTTATTTTATGTGTGTGTTTTTACCACACTTAAAAATAATAATTTTTAAATGCTGTCTCAGAAGACTAATTTTGTAATGATATAAAAAACCATTCCTGATAACCATGTCGAGTGAAACAATCAGGATATAAATACGTATATATCACATATGATTATAACTATGTAAAGACTATATGTTATCCAGAATGTGTGGAGTGCCTGGGTTCCAGTGGAGCATTGTTTTTCTATTTCTCATGATTGATTGATTGATTGATTGATAAATCTTTATTGTTGAAAGTATTACATATATTCCTTTTTTTCCCCCTATTGACCCTTTCACCACCCTATTGAACTTTATGCATATATGCATAACCCATGGACACTGTCTCATATGTTTTATAACGTGCTTATTGCTCTTATCACTAAAACTAAAATTTTTAAATATATACTTTTTTATTAATTTCAGAAGAGATAGGAACATCAATGATGAGAGAGAATCATTGATTAGCTGCCTCCTGCACATTCCCTACTAGGGATCTAGGCTGCAAACCGGGCATGTCCCCTTGACTGGAATTGAACCTGGGGCCCTTCAGTCCACAGGCTGACACTCTATCACTGACCCAAACCAGCTAGGGCTAAAAATAAAGATTTTAATATGCAAAAATAAAACGACTAGAAGGAAATAGAGTTCTATCAGTTCACCATCATCCGAGAGCAAGGAGACAGCCCACCTATCCTGGTCTGTTCCTTTTGCCCAAGGTTGAATGGCTACAGGGAGAGTTCGCTACTATGTGGTAGGAATGTTTCAGGTTGAGGTATTCCTTTGCCTCCCTCCTGTTGGCAGCAAACGGCACCAGGTGTTAGGCCAGTGGAGTCAGATGGAACCTTGGCTCAGCAACCCCAGTACTTGAGTTCTGGCTAAGAAAGAATTCAGAGCCAAGATTCAGAAACTACAAGCCAAAGTTTATTTAGAAAGTCACCGAGGGAAGAAAATGAGCCAGCTGGGCATGGGCTTAGGAAACAAGTCAGAGGCAAAAGAAGGGCCTTGGAATTTAGGAGAAAGACAGGGGCAAGGAAAACACACCTGAGGGAAGGGGGCGGGTGCTGGTCTTGAGGGATATTTATCTGAAGGTCTCTGGGGAGGATCCCAATAGAATATTCATCAGCTTTCCGAGTGGGTCCTTTCTTTGTTGTGGTCTCCACTGACTGGTCGTCAGGGGGTCATTAGTCAATGCAGCTGGTCCTGAGGTCAGCCATGGCATTGTTATCTGCTTTTGCTGTTTTCCTGGGCCTGGGGCTGACACACATCTAAGTCCTCGACATTATCCATAGGGGTTGAAGTTTTTTTAAAAAAATATATTTTATTGATTTTTTTACAGAGAGGAAGGGAGAGAGATAGAGAGCCAGAAACATCGATGAGAGAGAAGCATCGACCAGCTGCCTCCTGCACACCCCCCACCGGGGATGTGCCCGCAATCAATGTACATGCCCTTGACCGGAATTGAACCTGGGACCTTTCAGTCCGCAGACCGGCGCTCTATCCACTGAGCCAAACCGGTTTCGGAGGGGTTGAGGCTTAAGGGAGTGGTCGCGCAAGGGCCAACGTGGGAGTCGCCGGAGGCCTCTCTTTGGCCCCTTGTTCTGCCTCCAAGGGGTTATACCACATGACTGGTGGCATGCCAGGGGAGGAAAGGTCAGGATAGGGCCCAAGCCACATGACTAGAGATATGAAAGGTCAGGGGGGACTAATCCCATGACCAACAATATGAAAGGTCCGGTCTGAATGAATTTCCCACCCTGGTGGCCTTCTGTACCTGGCCTCTCATCCTTGCTCTGCTCATGCCTGTCTCACTGTCTAGCACACTTCCACTAACTTTGTAGACTTCAGATAAAAATATATTTTTACTAAGACTTTTATAGTTTCATATTAAGTTTAATAATGAAATTTATTCAAATGATAACACCCTGCAGTTACATGGTCTTGCATGCTTTAGGATTTGAGAACATTTTAAGAAAGTTTATTTTTACTTATTTTTTCTACCTTCCCTGGTAAGGGTGGTAATGTCATTGGTAAATGAGGAAACTGAGGAGACCTGATTTACATCAGGGCTGCAAATCCTGAGTTAGGACAGAGAACCTCCCCATTTCTAGTCTGCTGCTCATTTCGATGAGTCTTATTATCTACTTACGGTAAGAATACGTTGTAATGCTTTCGAAAATCCATTGATTGATTTGGTCAGAAGAGATATCCTCAGTGCAGTAAACTCTCTTCCTTTTCTTTCTTTTCTTTTTTTATAGGCGGGAAATGTTTCATTTGCCCTCAGCCTCTCCCAGGAGTTTCTTCTCTACAGTACGTAATGATAAAAGATAAGCCACAGGTCTGAGTTACTGGGAATCCCTTCTGCTCTTGGCCTTTAACCTCTGCAGGTGGAATACAGCTATCTATTTTCATTTTCCTAATTTCATTATCTAAGTCACATTTCTAATTTTGGATTAAATCTTACACACTGATTGATGCATTGGGAGTATGAGTGTGGGGAAGTGTAAGTTAGTTGGAAAATGCTAAGAAGATAGTAATCTATTCTTTCCTCCTCCGCCCCCAAACAGACATATATTAACTAGAGGCCCATTGTACGAAGACTCGTGCAATAGGCCTTCCTTCCCTTGACTTCCAGCACCATTTTTCCTCCGGCAACCAGGACCCAGGCCTTCTCTCTAGCCGGAATCTGCTGCCTTTGTCTTCACTGTAGACTCCTGCCAGAGTCTGCTGTTTTCATCTTCGCTGCTTCACTGCAGACTCTGGCCAGAGTCTGCCCTCTTCATCTTTGTTGCAGACTCCAGAGTCTGCAATCTTCATCTTCGCTGTGGCCAGAGTGCCACTTCTGTAGATCCCTTCCCCCCTGCCCTCCCTCTCATAGCAGGCATCCTACCCAGCCATTCCATGCCTGGAGTAGCTGGGTGGCAGCCATCTTTATCCTTCTAATTTGCATATTCCCTCCTGATTGGCTGATTGGCATAGCAGAGTTATGGTCAATTTGCATGTTTCTCTTTTATTAATGTAGATATTGCTTCAATGGGGAACAGGTTCTAGTTTGGGAGCCAGTTTCTTCAGGGACATCTAAAGACTCAGGTTTGGAAAGTAGACCTGGGAACTAGTGAACTCAATGAGAGCTGTGTGTGAAAAGAGAGTGACTCAGCAGGATTATTCACCACATCTACAAAGAGATGCCAGTTCTTCCTGTAAACCAGGGCTCACTTTGCTATGCAAGCATCCTCCCCAGTTAGCACAGAATTGAGCTTGGACCCTCAACAGAGTTGAACAAGAGAGAGACTCTCTAGCTTAACTCTCTGCTTGGATATTTTTGTGTACAATTTTGGTAGCAGATGGCTTCCCAGATTTTCCTTTAATAAGATATTTAGTTGCTAAAGAAAGATACATAATCAATTTAATATTTTAATAGGTATAAAGTATTTCATGTAGGACTTTACAGTGGTATTTATCTATCACTTTTGAATGAATCCACTTAGTAATATTATTCCATTCTGATAATTTGGCAAACCGGTAGGAGCAGGAAGTAGCTGTGTGGTCTGGAAACACGTGGGCAATTAGTGGTGCAGGCAAAATGAGAACCCAATGTCCCGTTATTTCTGTGCTTGATGTGGTAAGATCTCTGCCTCTCCCAGAGAACCCATATTGTGCACTATTATAAGTGGATGAGTGGGACACAGCAAATTGAGATTCCCAGTTCCATTTCTGGCTTTGCAGTATTTTAATTGGTGTTTTGGGTTCATCATTTCTTTTCTTCAGAATTCCATTTCTCCTCTTATGGAAAAAAAAAAAAAAAAAAGGTAATTTCTGTGCCCTTCCTCCTTCCCTCCTTTGTCAGGGCGGAGGTGGTGGGTAGAAGCACACTGAGCTCCACAGAGAGAGATGCTTTGGAAGCATTAGAGCAATTTAGCACCTTCTTCTGAGATGCACTGAGAATCACATACAGAGGCTAGAAGATCAGGGGTAGTTGCCAACTTGCAGGGCTTTTTGCAGACAAAGTGGGCACAAGTAAGACACCAGACCCTGCAGGAACTCGGGCTAGAACTAAAGCTAGAACCCCATGTCCCCATGCTTTGCTCTGTGTCTAGGCCATTTGGGAATTTTGAAGGTGCTAGAAGAGTCAGGAATTAATTAGCTCCCAGTTCCCCAGAAGGAATAGGCCGAGCCTCTGCTACAGGGTTTGGCTCTCAACTTCCCTTTCATGGCACTCACTGGTCATGTTTCATTGTAACTACTGAATGTCTCCTCTCCATTGGACTGTGAACTCCAGGAGGTTAGCTCTGGCACAGTAGCTGGTGTATAGCAGATGTTCACGGAAGATTTACTAATGAATAGATGACTGACTGAATGAATGAAAGGATGAAGATTATTCCCTATGCAAAAACACTGACCATCGCACTGTCTGAGAGCGGCCCTCCTGATGATCCCCTTGGTCTAGGAGTGTTAAGTTCCATTTTTTTTTCCTTCGAATCTATCAGGCCCAATTTGATCTTTTAAAAATACATAATCAATATAACATAACTCTCCTGGGAGTGCGGGCCCCACACCCTCCTGTGCGGGGATACAGTGCTGGTCGTGTTGACAGTGAAGCTGCAGGAAACTGTGCTTGTCAGCCTGCATTATTCCTTGCTCTGACTTCTCCCAGGCCCGGATAATAAGAGGATGGCCAGGAATGTCCTGAAATATGAAAAGCTCTTGGCAGAGAGCGCCAACCAGGCAGTGGCGGAGGCTGTCATCCAGAGGCCCAACGTGCCCCACCTGCAGACCAGAGACACCTACGAGGGGCTGTGTCAGACCCTGGGTTCCCAGGTAGGATTTTCCGGAGGAAGAGAAAATTTCCTTTTAATTTTTCCTCTTTACAAGGAACCGGCTTGGCTATAGAGAGAGAGTAGAATGTGAGGAAAAAGGCTAGGAAAATCCATTTGGGGGGGAGGAGGGGGGAACAACCTCACTTGGACAGCACCAGTGACCGCATTCTGGGACTCCCACAGTCCATTGATGCTGTAGTTCCCCTACATTCGTGCCAGCGCCTAGCAGGCGTCTTCAAACTACAGCCCTCGGGCCACATGCGGCCCGCAGAGGAGTCTGATCCGGCCCGCCAGGTTTTTTGGGCAGTGAGCGCAGCCGAGGTGTTACAGTAGGAATTAGTAGTTCATATAGTCCGGCCCTTCAGCTCTCTGAGGGACCGTGATCTGGCCCCCACTTTAAAAAGTTTGAGGACCCCTGGACCCTTTCCTCGCACGCCGACTCCAGCCTTTCCTTCCAGCCCACTCACTACCAGATCCCCAGCCTGCACTGCTCCTACGAGACCAGCGCCAGCCCCTACCTGTTGCTCCAGCCCGTCCGGAAGGAGGTCGTCCACCTGGAGCCCTACGTTGTTCTCTACCACGACTTTGTCAGCGACGTGGAGGCTCAGAGAATCAGAGGGCTGGCGGAGCCGTGGGTGAGTGTCCCCAGAGCCTGCCAAGAACTTTCTTTGGTGCCTCCACGTGCCTGGAGTTCAGGAGAGCGAGGACAGACAGCCCGCACAGCCAAACCTTCCAGCGGCTCAGGAGTTCAAAACGACAGCTGAGCCGTCAAACTGATCCGGGGTGAAAAAAATCACCATCCCCTCTGGAGGGCGGGGATTGGCTGGGGAAAGGTACAAGGGACTCTCTGGGGTGTTGAAATGTGCTCTCAATATCTTCGTAGGGATGTGGAGTACACAGCTGTAGGCATTTCTCAAAGCTCACCAATGACTACACTCCAGTTCTGTGTGTTTCCTTGTATATCAATTTAACCTAAAAAAAATAAATAAAAATGTATCCTCCCCAAATGTCCATCATTCCATGTAATTGGTAAAAGAAAAAAACTGGTGACGTGACAGGGTCAAGCGTGATACCCTGGTCCAGATTCACAGCCTTACAGAGTGGGAAGGTGATCTGGTTCAGCTCTATTATTTTGTTAGTGGGAGCCGTATTATGGCAGCCTAAGGAAGTGCATCTCCCGCTGAGGGAATGAGGAGAGAGGAAGAAACAGAGAGGGCTTCCCTGTGGACGTGAAATTCATCACAGACACCAGGTGGCAACGCATATTCCAAAGACAAAGCAATGTGCAGGCACCTGAGTTGCAACGTGTTCAGAGAGTGGGGGAAGCTCTGTGGCAGATGTGGTGGAAGTGATGCACACGGAGGCACCATAAAGACCACGGGGGAGGGAGAGATTTGGATTGTATCCCGGAGGCAGGAGGCGAGCTGTCAGACAGGGAGTGGCGAGATCCGGCCTCCAGGTTTTAAGGAGGATTCTGACAGCAGCCGTGGACTGGAGGGGAGAAGAGCAGCAGTAATCATTTCACCTAAAAGCCAGTCCAGTGAAGCATAGACTCTCTGTAGAGAAGGATTCTGAGATGATTAAGCTCCACGGGGGAGCTGAATGATGTGTTTTCAGTAGCTTTGGCTTCTCAGGAAGCCAGCAGGAGCAGCTGCAGCTACTTTTTCCTGAGAGCTACTCTGTTGCCATGGTAACAGGACCGCAGACTCATCCGGAGACACTCACTCAGTCCCTCGCGGCCGGGTCATCTATGTGGATTGCACAGACCTTTTGCAATTAGAACCCACTTTATTTGAAAATAATGTTGCCCTGGCTGGTCTGTGTGGCTCGTTGGAACATAGTGCTATACACCAAAAAGTGGTGGGCTCGATTCCCAGTCAGGGCACATATCCAGATTGTGGGTTTAATCCCCCTATCATCACATCACATCACATCACATCACATCACATCACATCACATCAATGTTTCTCTCTCTCCCAAAATCAATATAAAAAATGATGTAGCCTGAGCTGGTTTGGCTCAGTGGATAAAGTGTTGGCCCATGGACTGAAGGGTCCCAGGTTTGGTTCCGGTTGCAGGCGCCTCCCTGGCCCTGGTCGGGGCAACGTTCAGGAGGCAGCAATCAGTGTGTCTCACATCAATGTTTCTCTCTCTCTCTGCCTCTCCCCCTCCCTCCTTTCCACTGTCTCTAAAAACCAATGGAAAATTATCCTCAGGTGAGGATTAACAAAAAATAAAAATAAATAATGTAAATTTTATGTCCAATCGTTCAGTTAAATTAGTGACTTCAAGCCTGTTTGGTTCCTCCCCCCACCCCTTTCCCCAGTCCGGGCAATTGTAGCAAACAGATTTTGATTCCCATAAGGAAGGGCCTTTGTTAGGGTTGCTCAGAAGGAATGGGGTGTTTCTGAAAAGAGAAAGTGTCCTCTGTTAGAGGTGTCCATTTAATCCCACAACCACTAAGTGCTCACCATCCGGCAGGCCCTGTGCCGGACACGGGGATACAAAGAGGAATGAGAAACAGCCCTTTTTCTTACAGAACTCACAGCCGTGCGGGTGCAAAAGGGATTAGACTATTAGATGTTACAATTTAACAGACGTTTACTGAGCACCTACTGTCTCCCAGACTCAGTGTTAAAGATTATTTCAACTCTGAGATTGTTGTCACCTTTTATTTTCAAGATCGATAGCTATTACTAAATTAGTGTCCTGTGCAAAGTACCCTGTAATTTGGGAGGAACTGGCGGTTGTTAGGTTTATGCATGTTTTTGGGGGGGGAGTGTCGGAGGGGGATGGGGCGTGGGGGCATGTCTATGGCAATGACGGAGCTCTTCCCTCCGCATCGCATCATAACCACTGGGACTTTCTCTCACGTTCTTCCCATCAGCTGCAGAGATCTGTGGTGGCATCGGGCGAAAAGCAGTTAGCGGTGGAGTACCGCATTAGCAAAAGGTAAGAGGGTCCTTCCTTGTCTGGAACTCCGGCCCTGCCTGCCGCCTGCCTTCCGGCCAGTCGCAGAGCAGATGAAGGCCAGCAGCAGCCCTTCAGGTGCCATGGGAGATGCTGCAGTTTTAAAGGCACTTTTTCCTCTTTGAATCCCAGCACCTCCTGCTTTGAGCCTTCAATCTTCACAGCACCTAGCACAGGGCCTGGCATTCAGTGAGGAGCCTCAGACAATGTTTGTTGAATGAATGAATGTGTGGATGTTGAGGTGGAGCATAACAGACTCAGCATGAGCAGCGAGTAGGTAATTAGACATCCACGTCTATCTTCCTGTCTTCCCTGTCTTCCTTCCTCTGGCAGTTGACTTCATCCATTCATTTGCTCATTCACAGATACTTTTTTTTTTTTTTTAATATATTTTATTGATTTTGTACAGAGAGGAAGGGAGAGATAGAGAGTTAGAAACATCGATGAGAGAGAGTCATCGATCAGCTGCCTCTTGCACACCCCCTACTGGGGATATGCCCACAACCAAGGTACATGCCCTTGACCGGAATCGAACCCGGGACCCTTCAGTCCCCAAGCCGACGCTCTATCCATTGAGCCAAACCGGTCTCGGCATTTTTTTTTTTTTTTTAATATATTTTATTGATTTTTGTACAGAGAGGAAGGGAGAGAGATAGAGAGTTAGAAACATCAATGAGAGAGAGTCATCGATCAGCTGCCTCTTGCACACCCCCAACTGGGGATATGCCCGCAACCAAGGTACATGCCCTTGACCGGAATCGAACCCGGGGCACTTCAGTCCCCAAGCCGACGCTCTATCCACTGAGCCAAACCGGTCCCGGCTCATTCACAGATACTTAATAGTTTCTGGCATAAGATCACCAGTGCTCCAACCTATGATTTGTTTTAGTGCCTGGCTGAAGGACACCGTTGACCCACTGCTGGTCACCCTTGACCATCGCATTGCTGCCCTCACGGGCCTTGATGTCCAGCCTCCCTACGCAGAGTATCTCCAGGTGGTGAACTATGGAATCGGAGGGCACTATGAGCCTCACTTTGACCATGCTACGGTAACTATGGGGTCAGTGACCAATCTAGGGGTGGAGAACCAAAATGTCATTTATTTTTCTCCTCCCTGTATTATGGTGGAATCCTGGCTGTCATTCTGGTGCCAACTGCAAAAAATAATGATGTTTTGTTTTTGTCTCAGTCACCAACCAGCCCATTGTATAGAATGAAGTCTGGGAACCGAGTTGCGACATTTATGATCTATGTAAGTCTTGCTCTAAACCAAGGCTTCTTACTTAAGGACTATTTATGTCTTTCAAAGCAATTTCAGGTGTTGATTTTATCTGATACTTGCAACTGAATAGTCTCCAGAAGATACAAAGAAGTGCAAATCAAGACAAAAGTCTTCATATTAAGAGAGCACTGCCATAATTCTAGAATATGGTGGTGAAACACCTTAGCTGAGGTTACCTAGAGAGGGACTGAGTGACCTGGGAAAGATACAATCAGTAGTCCCTGTGATGCCCAACTTTGTTCTGTGAGCCACAGGTTATGATCCATTAGTGGGCTGTGAAATACATTTAGTGGATTTGGTAGTATTTAAGAATTCTGAACAAGAAGAGAAAAAAAAATGAAATGGAAATAACAGGGGGTATCTTATGTAGTAATATTTTATGAAACATTTACTATTGCAGGGTGTGTGTGATTGTGTGTGCCTTGGGTTGTGATATAACTGATGTTTCTTTCTGAGGGTCTCAAAGTTTGAATCTACTTATTGTTGCCTTCAATAAGGATGTTAACTTAGCTAGAAGAGTAAAGAAAGGGGGAATTCCTAAATGTCCTTCCTTCTGTGGCCCTGCAGGCAAACACCCATTGAGTAAAAAATCCTAGATTGTGTAATTGTCTTGCAGTATTTCTCCCAGAATTGAACAGAACAGGGGAGGGAATCTATGCAGAAATGACATCAGGTAGGGCCAAGTAGGGCAGCCAGGGGCTCTTTCAATGCTGACTCTTCCTCTGGTGTTTCAGCTGAGCTCGGTGGAAGCTGGGGGAGCTACAGCGTTCATCTATGCCAACTTCAGCATGCCTGTGGTCAAGGTGAGTGGAGGTCTGGTCCCAACAGAAGGTTGTAAGGTGAAGAACCAACATTCTAGCCTTTGTGTTGTCTGTGCTTCAAGCTTATTCCGAGGGGGTAAGGACAAGAAGTCTTTCCCTCAGAATCAAAGATAATCCCTCAGTCTTGATGATCA